CAGCCCGACTGTGGAAGGGCTTGATTACCGGGATGTGACCCTTATAGACAAAGTGGTCGCCCCGCTTCTTGGTGATGAGCAGGGCTTTGTCAAAGAGGAAGAAGGTCCTCTCATTGCGCACACGGTGCACGCGGAACGTGCCCTCCAGGACAAGCTCCCCGTAGATGGTCAGGTCTGGGCCCTTCCGGTTGATGAGGAGTGACTGAATCTCCTGTGCAGAGAAGTGCCCAGTCCTGGGGTCACACAAGAGCGCAGGGGGCTCACGCAGAGCCAGCCACAGCCAGAATCCCCCAAAGACAGTCTGCCCAAGGGCTCCTCCCAGAGAAACCTTCCCCACACAGGACTGCCCCCTCAGCTCACCCTTGCCCACAAGCCCCTGGCTGTCCCTCCAGCCACCCAGCCTGCCAACACCTGCAGCCTGACTGCGTGCTCGTGCCTCCTCTTCATGTCGTTGATGTACCAAGCCACACAGGTCATGGTATCAATGGCATCCTCCACCACCTCAAAGCCATCCTCTTCTTCATCAAAATGTTTGGCAATTTCCTGTGTAGGAGATGGTGCGTAGGCAGCCCAGACTCAAGGGCCCAGTCCCCACTACTGCCACCCGTCTGTTCCCATGTCCCTAAGACGATGCGTCCAGCTACCTGGAGCAGCAGGTGGTACTTGAGGATGCGCTGGACTGGCTTCAACAGGTAAGAACCCAAGGGCAGCGAGTGCTTTAGCAACTCCTGCCGGTCCTGGAAGAACGTGGCCTGCTGCTTGTCCCGCATGCACTCTGTCAGGGCGGCCACTGAGCTGGGGGCGGGAGGGGGCCGTCACCATATGGGACAGGCTGGGGAGTGGGGGTGTAATGGACTCACCAAAGAGCTTGGTCTCCCCTGCCCACCTCAATTACTCACTTGGGGTAGTTGTTGCAATACTGGGTGTAGATATCAAACTCTTGGCTCTAGGAGAGATGCAAAACAGTGATTTCAGGAAGCTTCCATTTAGCTGCAAACTGGGCTGTATCAAAGTGGCCCCCAGAGCACACTCTGCCCACCCCAACCCTTGGCACCTGCAGGCCCATCTTTGTACCATTTGTCTAGGTTCCACCCCAGAGCACCCTTCCTATCCCAGGCAGGGTTACCAAGCACTCCCCCTGGAGAAGGTGCCTCAGGACTCAGAAGTCCTTGTGAACACACTATACTGGGCGATCCTGTCTCTCTGAGCTCCTAGGAAGATGGAACAAGGGGCAGGACCCAGTCCTTCTTACCCTTTCCACGAAACAGCTGGCCACAGCCACGGGGTCACTATTGCAGCTATCCAGGTCTCTGAGTAGTTGGCTGGGCGAGGGGAGAGTGGCCATCAGACCCTGACCGGCTGCAGCACCCCTGGCCAGCCATGTCCCCTCTCCCCACCTGCTGGTGCCCAGACACACGGCCATCCCTACTGCCATGCTCAAGAGGCAGGGTTTCCAGCCACCGAGCAAGCCCTGCTGTCGCGTGGCAGCCACCAAAGGAAACAAAGCACCACCGCAAAGTCAGAGAGGGAGGCAAGGCCACGTGCTCATAGGTCAGCTGGAAGAATACACACCAGCCAGCACCCACCTTGGCAGGGGATACAGTTCCTCTGAAGATGGAGTCAAACACACAAAAGCAAACATTAAAGAGGAAGGAAAGAGATGGGGTTTGCAGAGGAATCAAGATCCCCAGTTCAGAAGGATGCAGGACAAGCTGAGAGGATGGGGTGAATCTCCGTGTCCCCTTTCACAGATGGAGAAACTGTAGGAAACCCTAGAAACCATGCTCTTCCTCTTTTCTCAATCTGCCCTTCCCTCAACCTAGGCATCAGCCTGGCTCTGTCCCACAAGACTTGCACAGGATGAAGTCCCTCTGAGCTATCACAGCTCTCCCTCAAGCCCTGCTCCTCCTGGCCCTGACCCTGGGGATTCTGTGGGTCTGGAGATGCCCCTCTGCCTGAGATAGGCCCTTGCCAGGCCATGCTCAGGCCCCACACCATGTCTTGTCTGGCTGTGCATTCCACTAGTGGGTCAGATCATCTCCAAGGAACTTCAAGTCCTCAGGGAGTCAGTGAGGTGTGGAAGAAATTAAGAGTCTTGTGAGTAGGGGAAAAGATGAAGGGGACAAATTAGTCATAGGAAAGAGCATCAAAATGTACAAGAGTCCAGAAATCCCCCTGAGAGGGCGCTGGCCCAGCTGGACCCTGTCCCTCTCCCCGTCATCTGATGGGAAGTACCTGGCCCATGTGCCCAGCTGGTATCCTCATCTCTTGCAGGGAAACTAACTATACTGCTGCACAGGGACTGGTCACCTTTGTTGTCCCCTCAGAGGTCAGGCCCACACACCACAGTATGAGTCCAGGGACACCCGGGGCTCCTTCCCAGGCCCTGCACTGGGCCTCCCAGGCCAAACCCGGGGCACCTCCGCCCACTCATGACATACCTGTTCAGAGCGTAGATGCTTTCTATGTTCCCAAAGAGAGCACTGACTTGCTCTGGCTTCAGCAGCCCGGGAGTGTCAATGATCTTCAAGAGGTAGTCCTGTGTGGAGAGGAGAGAGGCACACCTCAGAGCCCTTCCCCTCCCGGCCCAATCATGGTCTCCTTTCCTTTCCCCACAACCAGCCACCCCTTTCGTCTCTGATTGAATATTGAACAGCTACAGTGCAATATTTCATGGCCATGGTCTACCTACACTCTAGGGGCTGAGGGCCTTCCTCAGTGGCAGCCCCATGCCACCTTTTCCTGTGTAGCTAGTAGCATGAAGGGCTTCATCTACATTAACCCATTGAATCCTCACAGCTGCCTGCAAGTAGGTATGTCTTCATTTTACAGACGGGGAAACTGTGGCTTAGGGGTTACACAATGTGCCCAAGACCCCACAGCTAGGAGATGACTGAGGCAGCGTCTTCTCTGAGCACAACCCTCCTGAGTTAGACTGGAGTCCCTCTCCCTCCTTAGCAAACCAGCTGCTCCCCGAAGACCTGCAGAAAGTCCTGTTGGCCCCAGCTATTGATCAGACACCCAACGTCATAAGGACGTGGGAGGAATTAACAAGGGCAGGTCAACTGGAGCTGGAGATCCCAGAATGCCACACGGCTCCAGGCAAAGCAGTTCTTCCAAGGCAAATGTGTTGAGAACTTTCTTTCCAAGAATGAAAATAGATTTATACAAAAAAGCTGAGGCACCCTCAGCTCTGAAGCCCCAGGTGGACGGGCACCCACCTCAACGATGCTTCGAAGATCCTGCACATACATCCGCTCCGTTTCCACAATCTCCCGCACCACGCGGCCCAGGTAGCTGAGCTTGAGCCCTGCTGCAGACCGGCTGTTGAATGGAGAGAGAGGCCCCTTCATGTTCAGCCAACTGCTGGAGTTGTTGTTGCTGTTGGGAGGCTGCCGGCGTGCCGAGCCTGCCCCATTCGTGGCTGAAGCCTCAGAACCATTAGGCTCTTCCATGGCCCCACGGCTGTCCCGGGAGGAGCCTGACGAGGAGGTAGTGGAGGTCAGGCTCACAGGTCGCTCCTGGCTGCCATCTTGGCGGAGGGAGGCAGAGACAGGCATCCTGGCATCGCTGCCTAAGGCAGGCACCCCAGGGAGATTCTGGAGCAAAACAGACAGGCAAAAGGTCAAAACTCTGAATCCTGAGGAATGACCTGCAGCCCAGACTCCATGAGCATCTCCAAGGATGTCCAAGTCAAGGATGCTCTTCTGGTTCCAACTGTGCCATCTGTGTTCTCTTCCCAGGATGAAGGAAAGGGAAACCAGGTCCAAAGAAAACTAAGCACTCGGACTCAAGACATCTCTCCCAAAGGGGTGGTCAGGGATGCCTTCAATGGCATTAAAAGCCCAGCCCTCTGCCTGGACAAAGTACTCAGACTCTCAGAGCTTCACTCACCTGTAAAATGAGGAGCAGTACCCCCACATCGCAAGATTACAAAAGGATGAAGTGACTTGCTGAGAGTGGTAAACAAACATCACACTATCGATAACAGTAGTTGTCAAAAAGCATCTCCCAAGCACCCACCTAAGAGGCCTATGCTGGGGCCACCACCCAGGGACAGGCAAAGACCTGGCTTCTACAATCTGAGACAACACACATGACAGGCATGCCCTCTCTGGGAATACAACATCTCTGGGGCACCAAAGGCTTCACCGCAAACCCGAGACCTTCGAGATACTGGCAGGGCAAGGCTGAGCCAAGCATTACTCTGGACCCCACCCCAGCACCTACATCCAGGTCCAGGCCCCTGACTCACCCCAGACTCCTGAAGGGGTGAGGCCCAGACACAGGAAATTCCCCAGGGCTGAGCCACCAGTGAGTCTAGCAAACTCCCCTCAGCACAGCTAGACAGGGCAAGACAGGAAACCGGAAGCAAAAGCAAATAGCCTCAGGTGGACTTTATTGCCTGAACAGATGGGGTGGCTCACCTGCAGGCTCACCTGGAGCAGCAAGTGGGGGAAGGGTGAAAGCCACACCCACCCCAAAGGAACGGAGCTCACCAATGCTATTTTCCAGAATGTACATTTGATCGCTATTCCCACAGGAGAAAAATTCCTGAGCATTAACTGTCACCCCATTGCCCCACAGCCTTCCACGCCTAACTCTGGGGTTCAGAACCTACCTGGCCACAGATGCAGCCAAAAGGCTGAATCTATGAGAAAGTTTGAGAAGGTGCAATCACTCCAAAAGGCTGGACACTGCCCCTCCACTGCGTCTGTCCCAGCCTGGAATCAAGTGCCCTATCTGTGCCGGTACCCCTCAGCCTCTGGGGCATTTGCCATACCACCCCCAATGTATACATCTTCTTTAATAAGAAACCACCCCTTCTAGAGTCCCCAAACCTTGTGTCCCCTTCTACATACATTTTACAGACTCACTGTGAGATGGTGTGACCACCCTGAGACCTTGTGCCCTGGACAGTAAGTTATTAGAAGGCAGGGGTCTCTATCACCACCACCAGTGTGTTTCCAGGGCATACGGTTCCCAACCAGATTTAGCAAATGCCTAACAACAGCTGCAACAACAAAAATAGCAAACAAACTGATGTCCCCACAAAGTTAAAAGCACTGGGTCTCAGGTGGAGGGCAGTCACTTCTCTTACTGTCTACAAGCCTCTCATTTTACAGAGAAGGGTATCATCCATAGCCCCCTGGCCAGAAGGTGGTGGGGCTGTGCCCAGTACCTGCTCCCTCCACCGTACAAGGCAGGGGAGATTACCTGGAACCTCTAGGTGAAGCGCTGAGGAGAGCCCCTGGGGAAATGGAGGACAGTGCCTGCCTTTTTCCTCAGTCCTCAAAAGAGCCTTTCAAATTCATCAGTTCTGCCTTTCTACAGAACCTGTGGGCAGGGCAGCTCCACAAGGTTACAACACAAAGGAAGACAAAGATCCAAGCTTGGCCCCAGCCCTTAACCCTCAACCCTGGGGGACTCTTTGATGCCCTCCAAAGCCCCTAGCTCAGTCAGACACCTCCTCCTCTCAGCTGGAACAATTCTAACCCGAGGGCAGTCTACTCCTATGGGAAGGCTAAATGGAAAAGGTCCAAATCCCAAATCGATTTCACAGCCACCAGGTCACAGAATCATTTTTTTCTTAAAGCAGAGAATTAGTCACAGCCCTCATGGAGTCCCACATCATTAGGATGATTTATCTCTAAAGGGTACCTTCTATGGGTCACTCTTGGGATGGCCACTGAGAGAGGGTAGCACTATCTGAGCACACCTGAGCTCAGAAACCAGAATGTCTTTCCTACTTGCTGAAGTTTTCTCTGGTTGAACATACTGCCTTCTTCAGAAGACTCTCCACCAAACCAAGTTCACATTTTCAAAGTAGCATCCATGCCCAAATACTAAAACAAAACAAAATAGCCAACAGCGAAAATGTCAGAGTGTCAGATACTGTTCAAGTACTTTATACACATGAAGTCACATATTTTTTGGAACAATTCAATGAGGTGTTATTATTATTATCCCCATTTAAGAGGTGTAGAAACTGAGGCACACAGTATGGAATGATGGAATGACTTGCCCAAGGCCACTGCATCCCAAATGGATTTCACACCAGCTGGGGCCTGTGAGCAAAAGATTAGTCAGGGGCACTGGAGGTCATGGTTTTCCTTCAGCATCAACTGTGGGGGGCATATTAAGACTTGAAAGATCAGGGTTGATAACATGACACTTCATTTATCCCACAAGGGCTAAGAAAGCAGGAAGGCAAAGGACTGAGACTGAAATCTCCTTATGGCTATTTCTGGACCTGTTCTATGTGACCTAAGGTCATTCACTCTCCCCTTGGAACACCATGGTCAATTAAAAAGACTCCAGCACCAAGGGTCCCAGGCCATGGGAAGCAGAAAGGAAAAGGGAAAAGCATGAGGTCACCAGGATAGATCATCATTCCTCAGAAGAAGAGAGACAAGTCCTGCAATGACCAAGAGACCCAAATCACAAGACTCTTGCCAGGGGTAGGAGAGCCTAGAAGCCAAGAAAGGGAGGCACAGGAAACAAACATGCAGGGAGGACAAAACCAGCCAGACACAAGTGGGGACTGTTAATGGACGCTATCTGATGGCAACAAAAACAGAACATTACAATCAATTTCAGCACATTCTGGCCTAAAAGACTGATCCAAACCATTACTGTGTATATTAGAAAGGTGCTGCTAAAGTACTTGCCCACAGGTTCCCTGAATGGAGATAACCTTTCCTTCCTCTCCAATGAGCATCACCCATAGTATACAATCAGCCCCAAAGTCAGGATTAGAACTCAGGTCTTCAGAGTCATCCCCAAGGGCACTATCTGCTAGAGACGAGATAACAAGGTATGAGGCTGAACCTCAAGCCTACACATTCCTCCCTACTTTACCCTAAGTACCCCACCCTCCTAGCCATGACTTTTCATCTTTTAACCAATCATCAATCAGTGCTCTAGTAAACCCCAGGTCCTCAAGCTCCACATCTGTGAAGTCCTCATGGACAAGATCCCATGAGGTCTTTTTTTGGATGGGCCTAAGAAGAATCTTGAAGGCGCCCATCCTTTCTTTCAACCTGCCTCAGCACCTTGCATCTGGTCTGTCTCCAACAGAAAAAAAAAAAAAAAAAAATGCTAAACCAAATCTATAATAGCTGGAGTATTTTGCCCTCAAGTCTCTTATCACTGGGGGTCCCTCTACTTCAATGTTCCTTCAGAAAGGAACATCACACATAGGGCTACTTACCCACCCCTCACCAGCTAGGAATCCCCAGGAATCAGCAAGACTCCCTTTCAGTCCTCCCAGACCAGAGAGCCCAGGAGAAAGCAGTAGAACAGGGAGGGACACCTGCAGGTGAATCTTGTGTGTGGGCTGGTGCTCTGAAGTCACTGGGGAAAGCAATTTGGTTCAGAGCAGCTGGGTCCAGAGGCAGAGGAGACTGACGTCATCCTTTCACCTACCACCCTTCAGTCCACACCCAAGAAGCGGAAACCAAGTAGTACCAAACCTGCCTCAGAGGCAGCAGGAAGGTCCATCAGCCCTCTCCTGGTACGTACACACAGGCAAAGTCCCCCCTCAAAGGCAGCTGATTATGTATGCACCTGTCTGTCTTTCTCAAGGTCACACACATCTCCAAGACTTTCCCAAACTTGTCAAAAATCAGCACAGAATGGTCCCTGCAATTCCACTTTCAGAATCTTCTCAGAGAGGGTACCGAAAGAAACATTAGATAAATGCTACAAAGGGTGGAGAGGAACGTGAACTTCACTCAGCTGTTTTCTCACTGCATTCCGTATCACCCACCCTGCCCTGTCCCCTAAACTCCATCGCTGCCGCCTTCCAGCACCTTGTTTGTCCATTCCGACTGCTCACCCTGGAGTCCTGCTGTGGCGCTGCGTACTCATGTGCTGGACTGCAAAGTCATTTTGAACCGCAAAGTCTGCAGTTCGAGCTCACCAGCTTCTCCTCAGAAACCCTATACATGGTCGCTATGGGTCGGAACCGACTCAACGTCACTTAACAACAACTGCTCACCCTGGAGTCCTGGTGTGCCATTCATTGTAGGATAAGCACTGGACTGTAAGGTCAGCAGTTCAAACTCACCAGTCACTCCTGAGAAATCCTATGCGGGGTCCACTCAATGACACTTACCAAGAACTACGGCTGCTCACCCTCCTGACCAGACAGGAGAGTATGGGCAGAGCAGACCCTGGGCCAGAAAGAAAGAGTATTTCAAAAGGAGGGTACCTTTCTTCAATACCCCAGAGATTTTCCCAAGAGGAGGGGCAGGGTCCTTGAGAGGAACTGGATCGTCACCCTTGCTATCTTTCCCTGGAAATTCATGGGCCCTGAATTTCCCTAAGAAAAGAAAGGATGGCTCCCAGGGAAGTGACTTTCCATTCAATGTGAAGGTATGGACAGTGTGACCAGGGTTTCTGAGCCACCTGAACCCAGTCCAGCGCAAGGTCAGCAGTTCGAAACTACCAGCTGTTCCGCGGGAGAAAGATGAGGCTTTCTGCCTCGGAAACCCTGTACAGGGTCGCTATGAGTCAGAACCGCCTCCACAGCACATAACAACAACAACAAGAAAAG